CAATTGTTTTGAAAGTTAACCAATAATTATGGATCAACAACTACCAAACACATTGAAATGGATGAAAGTGTTGCTTTATTCTTGTATCTCACAAGTCAAGGAGTCATATATAGACAAGTTCAAGAACAATTTTAGTGTTCTATTCAAATCACTTACAACCATTTTAAAAGAGTTTTAACAGTTGTGTGCAAATTAAATAATCATTTAATTAGATCCATTGATTTAATACACATTGCTACTTCTCAACATATAAAAGATGATGATCAATATTGATCATACTTTAAAGAATGTATAGGAGCAATACATGGCGCTAATATTAGTATACATGTCCCAACATATGAGCAGATATACTTTTATAATAGGAAAGGATATACAAACACAAATGTAATGGCTATATATGATTTTAACGCGTGCTTTACATTTTCATTGTGGGGTTAATATTATATAACTTGAGATATTTAACTAATTTATAAGTATTTATGTAATATTATTTAATGTTTAATATATTTTATATTTATATGCATAGGTAAATATTATCTCATTGACTCTAGATGGCCATCATTCAAAGCTTTCCTAGGACTATATAAAAATATGAGGTATCATCTTGCACATCTCAGAATGGCTCCTGGTTTTAGATCAAATGATGAAATATTTAATTTTCCTCATTATATTTGAGAAGTATTATTGAAAGAACTTTTGGTATTTGCCAGGCAAGATAGAGAATATTGCAAAACACAACTAATTTCAAGCTTGCTACTCAAATTTCTAACATATAGGTATGCTTTGCTTTCTATAATTATGTTAGAAGGATGGACTCAAATAATTTGAATGTTCTTTAAAATTTTAAAACTCTAAATGAATTATATGATAGAGAACAATATTTTTATGATGAGGATGGTAATAATGTGCCTGACTATGATGAATGGCTAGGTCACACAAGTAGATGTTAGATGCATAGCAAATACTATGAGAGACCAATTACCAAGACAAACATATCGCTATATTTTATTATTTTATTTTAATGTCCATAAAAACTTTGACATTTACTTTGATAGATTAAAGTTTAAAATAATTTATTAAAAATACTATTAATTAAGTATCTATAAATTTATTAAAAGAACTTTTTTATCTAAACATGTTTTTAAAGAAGTACCTTTACATGTCTATTATTGTGATTTAACACAAAAAAAGTACTTTTACATTGTTTTATCCAAATAAGTTAAAAATTACTTTTTAAGTAAAAGGTGATATTTTATGATTGTAATTCAAATGCATAATATATTCTATGATTTTTTTTTTCAAAATTTTGACAAAATAAAATTATTTTTACAGAATCTTTAAACTATTCAAAAATTATTTAATTTTTAATCTTAAATAAACGGGTTAAAAATTAATATAATGGTAATTAAAAACAAGATATTTAGTGTATACTCCTCTTGTTTTATTTACAAGGCAAAGAAAAAGATTAATTTTGATTCTATTTAGGCATTTCATTATTTTCTATGTTCATTCTTATATTTAAGCTCTCATTAAATGTTAAAAAATTATTTAAAATATTTTTTTGTTTTTATTAAATAATATAAATAAAAAATTATTAAATTTTAGAATAGAGTTAACTATGATTAAAACTGTTTATATTAAAAAATATATTAAAAGTAATTTATAAATAAAATTATAATAAGTAATACATTTAAAATATTGATTAAAGAAAAATCTTACGATCCGCCTTGCTGAAAGATTCATATTCATTTGTCGGCGCCACTAGACGTACAGTCCTAACTATGTCTATCTCTTTCATATGATTACTTTGGCAAATATCACTTTCGTTTCAACTTTCAACTCCACTCCCACCTTTTTCTTTTGTTATTTTCGGCAAACCATTTGCAATCTTCCACGTTCATACGTTAATTGACACTCCACTCATCATAAATTATAAAATATTTTTAAATAAAATCTCATATATTAATAACGTTTGTTAAATATATTCAATAATTTTATTTTTTAAAATAAAAATATAATTTTTAAAAATATTCTTTATTTAATAATTTTAAATTCACACCCAATCAGTATTAAATAAAAAGAGAAAGAATAATATTAAAATAAATTTATTTAATGAAATTTTAATTTTTTTAAAGTGTTTTATATTTTAGGAAGACAAATATCCTCTAAAAGTGTATTATAATTTGAAATAGATGAAGTATCTAATTGTTTCTTTGTCATTTTTAATTAAAAAAAATTACATTTAAGGATCACCCAAGTAAAATATTTACAAATGAAAACTAATAACAAATTTCATTTTTAAAAAATAAGTTAAGTTTCATTTAACAACAATTTATTCTATATTAGTTTTTATTTATAAATAATTTTTTAAAATGATCCTTGAATGTAATTATGTCCTTTTTCATTTATTGTGAGAATATTTGAGTGAATTGAATTTAAGAGCTCATAAAAACCATAGCATATATATCTCAAGGATCAAAGTGTTTTATAAAAATATTTATGAATCATTTGTTAATAAGATCCTTGTAACAAAGGAGAGATTTGGTTACATAATTTCATAAAGTATGAGCTAAATTCTTACCATTAATTTTATTGGGAATATATATATATATTGATGTTGATTCAACGCATGCTCACGAACATGTTGACCGCAAAAGTGCGTGTCAAACTTTTGCACCGTACTGTTTGAGGATTATTTTGTAATGCTAGCATTAAGGAAATTAAGAGTGTTGTGTTTTAACTCTTTTTATCTTTAATATATTTACTTTATTTTAATTTTTTTAAAAAGGAAATTATAAGTTTGCAAAAAAATTTGAAAAGTTCATTTACTAATAAACAGGGTAATTTTGCCCAATTCCTTTGTACAGGATAACATCTTCTAATTTTTTTTATAGTCTATAGAGAAGTAAATTAACCATAAAAAACTCATTTTCAATAAGTTTTCCTTGAACAAAAATGAAGTGGTATTTTTCCATCATAATCCATACTATGTTTAGAATTACATATAAGTTATCCAACAGATTTCAACTTTTATATATATAACAACTTAGGTAAGAAAGTTTTAGCCTTTGTCTTCAGTGTTTTGAGAGAGATAATATTTGCTATCAGCAAATTATACTCCTTATATTCATTAAAAAAAAATCTAGGTCATCTAAATGTTAGCTTAAGTAATTACATGAACGGGATGGGCTATGGGTATAATAATTAGGGACCAAACCCTATTGATCTAATATAAATTAAACATTTTGAAAAAATTAGAAATGATTTGCATATATTTAATTTAAGTTTAAATATTACATGAAAATATAAAATGTAAATAATTTTCTGTTATATAAGAATATATTTAAAATGACCATGACATCAGCTTTTAAAATTTATTATATAAGGACATATTTAAAATTTTACACACTTTTATTTTTTATATTTTTTTTATATTATTATTGATGTGGTTAATAAAAATAATTTATAAAAAAAATTATATGAGCACCATCCAGTTGAAAGTCAAATTACCATCTAGTCCCTATGATGATTCTGATCACATGTGCCCCAGCGACAATCAATACTACACTCGGGATACACCAACGCAATTATATTATAGCAGGATCTGTGGGCTGCTTCTGCACGGACAATTGTACCCTTCTTCAAAATACAGCCACTTCTAATGAACCCATGTTTTAAAATCATATATTATATTATTCTATTTATTAAATATAATGAAGTACTCCTATCTATGACTATTTCCGCAAACATGTTAAAAATATGACAACAGAGTGTAGATATTGGAATATTATACTCATGCAACATGTTTACACAATTCAAACCACATGCTACAACTATCAATCAAGGATTTCTAAAAATATATGATGGTGCTATGATGGCCACTTTAAATCATCCTGGATTTAATTCTTGATTTGCCAAGCTCTTTGGCATGTGGGCCAATTTTCTAATTTGTAGGGTTCCTTGTTGAGAGAACGGTGCTATATTGATAGGAAGAAGAAGAAGAAAAATTCAAATATCCTTGAAGAACTTCAACCATAAAATATTGAGCATTCATTATTATATTCATGATGTCACGTTATTGTTGAGGTATGCCATGTGTGTTAATAGGGTAGAAATTCTTTGATATACTCATTCCAATTTCATATGCTACAATACAGGGTATATTCTAGAAGCTAGCATTGGTTGATATAAAATGTAAGATATCATGTAGTTTTTCTAATTGCTTTTTTTTTTCAATTGTATTCTTATTTTATTTATTATTCTTTTTGAAAAAATAATGTCTAGGAAAGGAAATATATATTAATCATAATGTCACTCACTACCATGACATTAACCGTGACATTATTAATTAGAGACAAAATTAAAAAATATTATGATTTTATGTACTTTTAATTAAATAACAAATTTTTACCAGTTTACTAAAACATCCCACATATATATATATTGATATAGATGGAGATATGGTATATATTTTTAGAAACATGAAGTAGTTACAATGTCTTATACCATAGTAGACAATGCCATGGCTTAATATTATACTTCAAAAAATAAGTTTGATTGTGATTGCCTCAAAGTTACATAAAAACTAAACTCTTTGTTTCCACAGATACAAGAAAAAACTTATAAAATAATAATAAAATATTTCTCTCTATTTTAGAATTTATATTTTCTATTATTTATTTTTTCTATCTAAATATGAAGTTAATTTTGACCCATTTTAACTTCAGGATTGCACTTATGACGACATGTAATTTAATCTAACAAAAGACGAAGAGTATGAAACTAATACTATACGCTCATGTCATGTGAAATTCAATTCAATTGCAAGGGTCAAAAAGCACGTGTAGTGGAGATGAAACAAAATTGGTGGAAAGACGGAAGCATTAAGGAAAAATAATAGTCAGAGACGTTAAGGAAAGAGACACGGAAAGTAATAAATGACAAGATACCTCAGAATATATAGGAAAGGTCAGAGTGGTAATTCAATTGAGGAAGCTTTGTAGTATCCCGAGAGCCTAACTGAAACGCCAAAATATAATGTTTGAGTGAACATGCAGCCGCTTCCTGATTCGCATGATGCATTTATTTCATCTCTCTCTCTCTCTCTCTCTCTCTCTCTATCCATGGCCCTCGAGGCATGTAGAGAGTGATTCAGGACGAGTTCTCGAATCTCGATTCATGGTTGCTTCCTTTTCCCTGTAATTCCATTCGTCCTTTCCAAGGTACTTCACTCCCTATTCCATTCCCTCTTATTTCCCTTTTTGGCTCTTTTTGTTTCTATTTTCCTTCTTCTCACCTCTTTAATCCCAAATTTCTTCTGGGTCTGCAGGTGCAAATGAGAAAAGGGGCAAAGAGCTCTTTCTCATTGTTGAATAGCTTTTGTTATGGATTCGTCTTTAGAGGGTAAACCTGCTTTTGAGTCTTTTCTTCAATTTGGTTTTTGTTGAAACTTGAGCGATTGGATTTACATGAATTTGTTATCTGCGTTGTAGTCAGGATTTAACGTTATGGCCCAGCTATTTTGGTTTAAGCATATTGCCGGATCATTTTTTGATTTCTGGAATTTGTCGTTGTTGATTTTTATTGTACTCTTGTGACCTCTTCTTTTTCTTCCTTCTGAATCTTGGGTTACACTTACAATACCTCCAAAGTCCCTTTCTCTGTCGAATCTCCCAACACCGTAAAACCGTGGGGACTTGTTCTTATTACTCTAGAAGCAGTTCCTTCCGTTGAAACTTGGAATATATGCAGTTGTTTTGAAAATTATACCATGCTGTTGGTTCCTAAGCTGTTGTTTGCGATTGCTGTGTATTGTAATCACATGATGCTTGATAATTTGTTTCTCGAAAAATGAGAAATAGAGGATGGAATCTTCTGGATCTAATTATAGTTTCCTTGTCCGCTTGAAAAATTTAACATATGCCTTCATATTTAATGCGCTAATTACTATTATGATTTTTCATTGGCATGTGTTCTAGGTGTCCTGCTCGATCCATCTAAATGCAGCAAGTTGAGTATGGAAGAAAAAAGAGAACTTATCTATGAAATATCGAAGTCCCAGGGTGCATCAGAGATGTTACAGTCATGGAGCCGACAAGAGATTTTAAAAATCCTGTGTGCTGAGATGGGAAAAGAGAGGAAGTACACTGGCCTGACAAAGTTGAAAATCATAGAAAATCTTCTAAAAATTGTCTCTGAAAAGAAATCAGGAGGCCAGGAAATTACGAGAAATTTTGAACCACCACTTTATCCTCCTGCAAATGGGCAGAAACCTGCTAAAAGGCAGAGAAAAACAGAGAATCCGTCTCGGTTGCCTCTTCCAGCCAACAATGGTCTAGTCACTAATGGCAGTGGAGATTTAGGTAGTAGCACCACGTGCTGTAAAAATTCAGCTTGCAAAGCTACCCTAAGTCAAGCAGATGTATTTTGCAAAAGATGCTCGTGCTGCATTTGCTATCAATATGATGACAACAAAGATCCTAGCCTTTGGTTAATATGTAACTCTGACCCTCCATTTCGCGGTGTTTCTTGTGGCTTGTCATGCCATCTTGAATGTGCTATAAAACATGATGGTTCTGGCATTGGCAAAAATGGAGTGAATCCCAAGCTTGATGGTGGCTTCTACTGTCACTCATGTGGGAAAGCAAATGATTTGCTCGGGTAATGGTCTATATTTATGCATATATGTGTTTTATAGTTTCTAAGATTAATTATTGTATTGGATTGAAAATTGACTGTTCCTCGTTTGCCTTTTTTTCTCTCTTTTAATATCTAGGACTATATGTGAGTTTCTGATGTGAAGATCATGATTGTATTTGGCAATGGGTGTTTTCAATATTCATACAAGGAGACTTTAAGGATCCAATGGAAAGTCTTAACAGACCATGATAAAGAAGTGCTTTAATAGTCAAGTGCGCGCTTCTTGAAAAGGGGAAATTATATGCTAAATAGAAACCTCTACTAGGGAATACAAAGATCTAGCAAGAAAACTGGGGCTGCATTGAATTATATGAGCATGAATGATTTCATGATATTGTATTGGGAGAAAGGAGCAAGCTGTCCTTGCTTGCTTGCTTAGACTGCTGTTCTTTCCTAGGATAAGCGGTGATGTATACACATCTAGTGCCTGCAACTTTGCATGTTTTTTCTGCAGATCAAATTGGACAGAAACAATTCTGCAGCGGGCAAAGTAGATTTGGTTCTGTAATTAATTTCTATTTAAATACGTGATTGGTAATACAGATTTCATTTACGAGATATAAGCAACAGAAAGTGAAGGCTGGTGCCCGTCACTAATCAATGTGTTATGAGCATAAAATCAGTTGATAATGGATGCGTGCACGCACATACACACACATATTTCTTACCATGCAATGCTAAATTGCTTTATTTTTGCATTTAAACATTATTTATAGTGATAAAGTTATTTTTTGTCTAGATTTATTAGTGTTATTTAGGAACCCTGAGTATTTAGCTTCAATTCTGTCCTCTATTTCCAGTTCCATTTGTAAGTTAGTGTTGTCTGCATCTGGTTTCTATTAGTTTTTCGTTTATGGTATGGTGGTTTCGTCTGGTCATTAGGCTTCAGTTGCCATGTTTATATGATAAGAGTATTTAGCCAGTGGAGGTCCAAATTCCTTTATGCTGATTGACTTGTATAGCTATTTTGTAGTTTTTCCCCTTTTAAGGGAAAAGGGTGGTTTCAACATGTAATCAAGTTGCTCTTCCAAAGTCAAATTCTGCTAATTTTTGTTTACGAGGCAGTTGATTATTTGTTCCTTTTGATATGTATTTAGATGTTGTAGAAAACAACTGTCAGTGGCAAAGTGTACCAGACGTGTGGACATTCTTTGCTATCGTGTCTCCTTGACCCAAAGACTTTTACAAGGCACCGAAAAGTATAAAAAACTTTATGAATTAATTAATGAGGCTGTGAAGAAACTTGAACCTGATGTTGGCCCATTGACTGGCTCACCAGTGAAGATTGGTAGGGGTATTGTGAATAGACTTTCATCAGGACCAGAGGTCCAGAAATTCTGTGGTTTTGCTTTGGAATTGCTGGATTCGTCACTTTCTGAAATGATCTTGCCTCGACCATCACCCAGTCTGTCAAGTCAAGGTAATCATTTCTTTATTTGGTTTCAATACAACATGATCTTTGTGACAAGCTATGTAAATATGTTACTTGGAACCAATTATTTTCGTTTATGGTTTTCAAAGATTTGTAAGTTGACCTCCATATTACATTATCATTTGGTTTCAACACAACGTTGACTAATTAAGCATAATTTAGTAGTAACTTTTCAGCACCCCACAGAAACTCACCATCTCCACCACCATTAATAACAACAGCAAGCCTTATCCCACTAGGTGGGGTTGGTTACATGAATTACACTATGCTATTGTATGTTCTATCAAAAACACACCAACCTACTCGTGTAAATTCATGTACTTGATTGTTCAGCCCTTCTTGGTTATTCATGTTTGACAGTATTGCAGATACAAAATTGGTCGCTTCAGATATGGTGAGATTTGAAGATGTCACTGCAACATCACTGACTGTAGTTTTGGGTTCTGAAAATTCATCTGGGGAAAATATTGTTGGTTACAGCTTGTGGCATCGTGCAGCTCATGATGTGGACTATCCCTTGGACCCAATTTGCACATTGCATCTACCAGACAGAAGGTTCAGTATCAGGGATCTAATTCCGTCCACAGAATACATCTTCAAAGTTGTTGTCTTCAATCATTCTAGGGAATTGGGCACGTATGAAGTCCATGTTTTAACCGAGCAAAGTGAGGAAGAAGCACCCAACTGCTCAACAACAGAAAGAAGTCAGAGCCCAGTGACAAACTGTAGCAGCCTTTCCAATCCTTCCTCAGTGGAAGATGAAACTAATAACAGTAATCCATTTTTTGACCAGACTGATAATAAAGTTGAGAATCATCTTGATCAAAAGGACACTGACAAGCTTGCTTCAGGAATATTATCCAATGATGCCACTAACTGTCCCAATAATGGAGAATTTAGACTTCCAACAGATGCTGATTCTTTGTCAGACAAGGAACATGCTGCAGGAACTGGTTCTGATGTGTTAAAGCTTGATGAAAAGCACTCACCAGAGGATCAAGTCACTGAGGACATGAGTACTGATAACGGACCTGATTCCCCAACTCAGACTGGGAGGGACTGCGTGCCATTAATAGGTAGCTCAGAGGCAGGCCTTCCCAATACTCCATGCAAGTTAGAAATGCTTAAGGATGATCTAGGAAGAAAAGGAAGACCTAAATCCAGTGGCAAGGCCAAGGATCAAGAAAATGGGCCTGCGAAGAGACAAGGTCCTCAAGATGGAAGCAAATCTAAGAATAGAAATGAGGAAAGTCAACAAGTTGAGGAGCGTGATGCAGACGGGTTTTCTTCTGATGGGGATTTTGAGTATTATGTGAAGGTGATTAGAAGGTTAGAGTGTGAAGGACATATAGAGAAGAACTTTAGGCAAAAATTTCTAACTTGGTACAGCTTGAGAGCAACACCCCAAGAAGTAAGGGTTGTGAAAGTATATATTGATACCTTTATTGAAGATCCATTATCTCTTGCAGAGCAGCTTGTGGACACCTTCTCAGACTGTATATCAAGCAAGAGAACATCGATGGTGCCGCCTGGGTTCTGCATGAAGCTTTGGCATTAGCCCAGTTTAGGCATTGAAGCCGCCCATTCATGCTGCTAAGATTTGTGATGCAGTATTCTTTCGATATCTATTCTTCATTTAGACAGTCAACCATTATAGTTTATTTCTTCATTGTCATTCTTATAATGGTATAACAATTGTAGATTTACTTCTTCTGATCATTAATTGCTATTTCAAATTGATATATTTCCAATTCGGGAATTTGCCTCACAATATTCATGCGGCTGAAACTCCTTGTTAGAGATTTATTTATTTATTGACGTGATTTTCTTTTTTAAGTTTGAATTAGGAGCTATGGTTCTATTAAGAATCAACTTTAATTAATATACAAATGCATGACAATGACACCTTGTTAGAAGGTTGAAGTAGACTAGGGTTTGTTATTAATTACCCAGTTTCTTGAAATCTATATAAATGGTCATACAACATTGTACATAAGTAGGAAGTTTTGGAGTGTTACCCTTATTTTCTCACCCCATGTTTTTAGGATTTGTTCACCAACCTTCTAAGAATGGTTGATTAGTGTTAAACCTAAGAGAGTCTATTGTGAATTGTCGTATGAGCTTATTGCTCTTTTGTGATTAATGGATATGGTTTCTCCATTTTATTTTTGTTTACTGATTTATGTTCATTCTTTTTGACGGGGTAAATTAGAAATCAGCAAATATTTAGTCATGCGATCAATAGCAAACCAGAATACCTCCATACCCCCCCTTTTTTTCTCCCCCTTTCCCCTCTCCGGAGAAGAGTTTTGATATTTATTTCTCTTGTAACTTGGGAGCTTTGCTTTGCACTTCTCTAATGTCCTCAACTAGACCTGGCTATCTTTTATATATATATATATATATATATAAAATGAAATAAGTTTTGATATATAATATCAGAGTTTTTAAAATTGAGTGGTTAATTAAGAACTTAAATTTTGCTATCTCTGATAATCTTTTGTCAACTGTTCTCTTTCTCCTTATCATTTCAGTTAAAAATCCTTCCGACAAAAAAATGGGACGTCAACAACATATAACTCTAACACAAGGAACACTATCCTGAATGTGATTTTGGTTTTTTCCCCCTCCTTTTAAACGTAAATTTTGGTTTCATCTCTTTATCTTACATGGAATCATATCCATGCATTGATAGATCGAAAAATGTGTATTTTTGGTGTCCGGTTTAATAGAGAAGGTGTAGAATTTGATTAATGCTACTGATTCGGCAAAATCAGTGAACATGTTCAGGAATAATGTCACTTCAGGTCCCCCAATGGAATATGATATTGATAAGATTAATTAGGTGGCTTCTGGTTTTGGATTGAAATGTTACTCTCTTCATAACACAACACAATGCATCTTCGAAAAACCTATCTGCTTCAAAATATAAGACATGAAATAATTTTTATATTTTTTTAATTATATTCCTACTTTATTTTTTTTTTGAAAAATCATACATTGAAATTTTAATTACTATCATCAAAACTCTTATATAAGGCATTTAATTGGCTATAAATAAAAAGACGTGAATATTTTTAAAAATTTAAGATTTTAACTAACATTATACATAGACTGTCAGTTAATTAATTATGATTTATATTGTGATATAGAAGGAGTAAATTTGAACATATTTTCAAACAAGTCAATCATTGCACGGATTGATTAATTAGGACTGCATTTAAATTCATTATACTACCCCCTCCGTCTCTATATATAAAGTATTTTTAATCAAATCTCGTATACTAATAAATGTTTGTTATTTAATTAAATTTATATAAAAAAATATTTTTTTAATTTTACCTTTAATAATATCATAATTAATATTATGATAGTGGTAAAAAAATATATAATTAATGATCTATTTTATTTTTTAAAACAAAGGTAAAATTATTTGATTTTTTAAAAATATCATTGTCATCCCTTATATTTAGGGATAAAATAAACTTTTAAAAGATACTTTATATATAGGGATGGAGGAAACAGATTGATAAGCCATGAGTACAAGTTTCCATATGCCTTTTTCTTTGTATATATTTATGGTATTCTTTATGTATGGTAATGGTATTCTGTGGTGTTATATATAAATCATTTTTTAAAAACATTTATAGCCTTTCTTATATATCATTTTTATAAAAAAATTATTAATTACTTTCTTCTAATTTTATCTTTTTACAAATTTCTAATTAAACTAAAGCCGTAAAAAATTACATGCAAAATTATAAAATATTTTTTTAAAAATGATGTATTTAATAAGGATAAATTATAATTTTGTTTTAGAAAACATCAATCATTTAACTATTTTTTTTTAATTTTAGAGAGGTAGTTAGAAGTTATTTATATATAGGATGAGAGAAAGTATGACAATGAACTAATACTAAAAAAAAAAATCCCACTGAAAAAAGTGTTTAATATTCAATGTATTACCGTGCTTCAAACAAAATGATTTTCAATTTGAAAAAAAAAAAACATGTGCATGGTATAAAAAATTTAAAAAGGTGGTACAGCCCAACACGTGGTCTTTTTTTTTTTTTTAGCTATCCAAAGTATTTCTATAATTGACAGTTGTGAGATTAATTTTTCAAAAAATAAAAAATGCTGTTCAAGGATTGTCTTTTCTCAAATAATATCTTTTTCACATACACTTTCAGGGATCTGTTGTGTCCTCTCCCAGCACGTGAATATGTCCACTCCTCTGTTGGCTTGAAAGCCACCCCTCATGCAGTGGTCCTATTGTATTACCATCTTCTCATGGTTCTGTTCTTGTCTGAGTGATATATTATGTATGTACGTACGTGTGTAGAACATGCTCCTAACGTTCTGAATTAACACACACACTCATATATTTCAAAAGAGCGTGACATAACAAAGTATAACTATAGGTTTGAGAGAGAGAGAGCATAAATATACCTAGGATTCATGACTTATAATATATATATTTTTTTAATCTATCATCTTTTCTCTCTCGCTTGGAATGCGCCTATACTTTTTTTTTTTTTTAAAAAAAAGAATGATTACAATGGGATTAGATATTGTGGTAGAAATGTAGAATTATATCACAAGTTTGTTTATGGATTTTTTAACGAGATAAGTCTTTCATGTGAATGAATTTTTGACATGGTACTGTAAATTTTTTAACATCTCTTAGGTAAGAAGAATAAAGAGAGAAATAATTCACTAGCGTGTCTCTTTCATTTTTATTTTGTTTTAGTGATATTATTTCATTAGTTTCACATTTTAGAGTATCTAAATTCTTTTTTCATTTTGATAACGTAGCTAAAATTGTAGTCAAGACTTCAATTAGGATTTCCTTCATCATTTTAATCAAAGTCAAGTTTTAATACTCTCGTATTTTTTAAATTTGTCAACACATAATACTGAAGCAGGCTTTTCCCCTTTTTCATCGTTTAATATTTAAGATGAAGTAATTTTTAATAGCCTAATGATATAAGATATAAAAAATTTCAAAGTAAATATAACTTAAAAATTAAACTCTACACGTTTTTTCAAATTGATTAAAATTAAATATGAGAAATGGATGGATTAAATTTGCAGAAAATTAATTTGAAAAATGAAAGCTCGAAAACACGGGGTCTATAGCAGACTATATATTGGGTAGGCCCTTACATCTAAAGCCCACGGTCTACATTATTACAAACTAGCCCCCAGGACCACTTGGATGGAAAATAATTTTACTTGTATTTAGTTTGGAAAACATAACAAATCTATAAAACCTTTTTATCGGTATTATAAAGAAGGAAAAATGAATGAAAAATCCTTCTAAAATATACAAATAATAATGAAGTTTTGTACAATATCATAATTCTTTTTAAATTTTTGAAAACTTTTTTGATATTAACCAATGTTTGGTTAAATGGCTAAAACACCCCTAGTTCAAAATAAGAAAAAAGTAACAGCTTTGGCTACAACAAAAAAAAAAATCAGTTATTACCTTAGTTTAAATAATTAGTACTTTTATTTTGACAATAACTAAAACAAAGCAAACAATTACAATTTATCTGTGGTTATTTTAATTTAATCAATGACCTTTTTTTTTGAAATAACTAAAATGGAATAAGCAATTGTAACATTTATTATGTAATTTTTTTATTCAATGGAGTTCAAGTGAGGTAAATATAAGTGATTATTTTAGTTTAAACAATTATTATTTTTCTTCTATCATTCACTAAAATAAAACAAGCAATAACAATTTCTCACATACAATTTTTTGCTTCACTGAAGTCAAAGTGTTATAAATATTCATAATTACTTTAATTTAAATTATGACTATTTTTCTTTTAACGATAACTAAAATAGAATAAACAATTAAAACTTGAGGAAAAAATTGCACAAGGAAAGTTTTACTTGATTGTTCTATTTTAGTTATTGTTAGAAAAAAAGTAATCATTGTTTAAACAAAAGTATTTACTAATTTTTATTGCTTGTCCACCAAATTGAAATAGTTTAAAATTCTTTCTAAATCCTTATTACTCCCCTCATTCTAAATTATAAGATATTTTTAAATAAAAGCTCACATGTCAATAAACCTCATTAAATACACTTAGTAATCTTATTTTTTTCAAAATAAAAATATAAACTTTTAAAAATATCTTCATTTAATAACCTTAAATCTATACTTAATTAATATTAAATAAAAGGCTATTTAATAAAACACTAATTATCTCAAAGTGTCTTATATTTTAGAATAATAAATTTTTTTAAAAGTGTCTTATAATTTGGGATGGAAGGAGTATTTCAAATCTCAACATGCACCTTTAAAATACTAAGCAATAGTAATTACTTTTGTTATTTAAACTATTAAAACAAAAAATTTTAAATACATTAATTTAAAATATGAGATTTGAAATTTAAATTTTAAAATTCAAATCTACCCATCCAAACACTACCTTAACAAATTTTGAAGTAAAATTTAGATTGAAGGAATTTTTATTTGATTTAGAAAACACGATCTTTTGTCCGAAAAAATTGAAGTGAGACAAAAAGGTCATATTTTATGGACGATCAGGTGTTGATATATTCTCATAGTTTATCCTTAATTTTCTTCAATAATTATCAAATATCCACAATTATATTTAGATTCAAGTATATTAACTGTTGAACCTAGCTAATTGAAGATCATTCTTCCAAGTTTTTTTTTTTTCTTTTTGCAACAAGAAAGATATTTCATTCAAACCTTCCAAGTTTTAATAATCT